AGATCTTTTTTCTTTAAAATCTTTTTTAAAAAACACTGTATTCACATCAATATGACACTTAAATAAAAGCGCACATCCATACCTCATCATCAATGCCTATCTGTTTTACAAATTACATAATATTTTCAATAAAAGATTTTTTCAATATATACAGTATAGACTATACAGCTATACAGACACTAGCCTGTACTTTTGTAAATTGTGGTAGATTTATAATATAGGCATTACCACTATACGCTTTCACATTTATTATCCCAACACTGGAAAAAACACATGAAAAATGGTAGTGATGTTTTGTCCTACCTGATGTGTTATCGTACCGAATACTCAGTACGTCCCCTAATACTATCGAAAAAATTCGCGAGTGATTCGGGTGGGAATCAAACCTACGACCTCCAGGTATCTAGCCTGATGTCTTAACCACTAGACCACCGAGCTTGCGCTTGGTGACTAGTGATGAATCCAATCCCCTAGTAATAGCGGTTACTGCAAGTGCAGCGGGGAGAAGGGTTCGAGAGGGGGGTTCCTCCACCCACGAGATTTTTTTTAAAACAGGAACCTCTGATGACACACTCAGACTGTGACAGACATGTGTTGGCTTGGCGTGGGCCTATTTTTATACCTTTTTTACTGACTGCGGGCAAAACTTCACTAAAAAATGAATTTTGAAAGAAAAAATGCATATGCATTACTCTAATTATTATAAATCATGGAAAAATATTGGTTTTATGCAAAAGAATAAAAAAAATGAGAAAAACAGACTATTTCTCATAGGAGATTACCATTTTCTCGAAGAATTCTTCGTTACTAGGCAAATTCAAAGGTTGTAGATCACATTCGCCGGAATGCTCTCGCTTTTATGTATACTTTATACAGTCAAAAAAATGCGCCCTCTCTAATGAGATTAGTCTTTGTTTTTCGCATCTCGCGTTTATGTTTGTCTAAATCTCGATCAGAATCAGTTTTTTAACATATTTGCAATAATTCCTATAAAATATTGTATTTCAGAAGTGTACAGTAAATACTACCAACGGAAAATATCATGTCGGCTGTTTTTATGTGTGATAACAGAACCTAAACCAAGGTAAGGCTAGGCCTAGCCTAGCAGTTTTGGATAGGCTAATATTTTCGGCGCCTACTATATTTCTTCACAGTCCTATCGCAAAATCAAACATGAAATATCCATCCGCATTTATTTTTTGTGTGGAACACAAAAAACTGCAGTCTTATTTTAATTTTTTTCAAGTTAAGGAATGTCTAAATTCAGTTAAACTAGCAATTTTGTATTATATTTATAAATCTTTATAACAAATACAAAAATCAGATTTTTCTTAACAAATGAAATTTTGCCGGGAATGGGGCTTTTGGGTTGAGGCAGAAACCGCAAATAGAGTGCCTTGCCTAAGAACATTAAACAAAATTCACAGCGAAGGTTCAAAACTCTGACCTCAAGTTAAAGAGTTGAGAATTTCAACCGCTGTGTCAACCGCTCTCGTTCAGTTTTACCATATGCAAAATAAATAATATTAAAAATTAACAATAGAGAGTAAATTGCAGATATCCTTATCGTCTCACTTGCAGAAATTTCCAATCAAATACCTTTCAATGGCATCTACTTTCAAGGCTTCCATACAAGAAATTATTGACGAATACAACCACATTCATGAAACCATGGCAACAAATAATCATCGGTGGAGTAATCAATTCCAAGATGATTACACATAATCAAATCGACAATATCGGGTGTACCATGTATTAATGCAAATTTTGATATCCTTGCTTTTATAATGTTTTCCCCTCTTTCAAAATGTGATAATCAGTAATATATTACAGTAGAATTGAATCTATTATTTGAAAAAAATAATGAAATCAAAATTTAAATTGAAAAGACAGGAACATTTTTAAAAGATAAATAATAGATTACCCAAATAAGAAAGTATAATACATACTCCAAGTATTGAAATACACGCCATCGTGTTGGGATTCAATATTTCGACATTAATTATGTCATCATCAGGAATGATTACCCAAAAGTATGAGGACTCAAGTTTCTGCAGGGATATAGTTTTAATAAGTATTTTAGATGGTTACTCCCTTAAAAAATGTTTCTAAGCTACTATCAGTGATATTATCATTTAGATTAAATAAATTTAGAATATGAACTGAAAACTAATCTTACTTTGGATGAAATTAAAATCTTTAAAATGGGGAGTCATAGAACAACCTTTATTAATTCAACATTGGGTTAAATACTAGTCATTGATGATTATATTCTGTACTTGTTTATGTTATTAATTATCATGTTTAATTTCATGTATGTTATGTAAATAAGCCTATATTGTTTTCTCACCATCATTAACTTATAATTATCGGTAATTATATTCCTATCATCTTCAAATTTATTACACAATAAAAACATCCACTTTAAAGCCAAATGCCTTTTGTAATGGCCTTTTTCCATTGTTTATTGATTTTATCTTATTGTCTTTAATATGATACTTATTCATGGAATTGAAAAGTTTATGTGAATTGACAAAAAAAAATGCCACAGTAATCCAAGAAATGAGGATGGAGTTATTATTGTCAAATGTCAATATTCAACATGCTTAATACCTCGTTGTCTATACTCATCTTTATTAAACTTTATCCATGATTTATTGCTACCAACATCACTGTTGGTTTCATCAAGTAATAACTACTTGATGTCTTAATGATAGCAATTGGTAATCAATAGAAAATCACTGGGATTCTTATAATAGCAAAACAAATCTTATTTCATTGTTATACTTGTTTCCATTGGTACTCAGAATGATTTAACCCACGCAATGTAAGAACACAATAACTAAAGAAATGTACGAGATTTCAAGCTTTTTTTTTTTTTTACCATATTTATAGAGAGAGGGTGATCCTTCCAGCGTATCCTAGAAGGTCGGCTGATATTCAGGGACCCCCCTTTTTTTTTTAAATAAATAAAATAATGTGATGCTTTTATCAACGAAGTCTCTTTATAGGCCTGTTTCTGCTGAGCAAAAAACATGTGTTTTTAAACGGCTATCAAAAAACATGTTTTTTCGCAGAAGAAACAGGCCAAAAAACAAAAACACAGTTAGGAATGCGTTCTTAAAACACATGCTTTAACACGCATTCGTTACAGGGTTGGCGTTCAGAAAACATGTGTTTTTTGGTACACTTTTCAGCTGCAACACAATACCGTGGTAGTCATGACCCGTCGGTGACCCAAATTGACCTCTTCTTTGGTTTGATCACTTGTCCACTGGAAATTCGGGGCAAAGAAAGAAAAATTAAACCAGCGGGATGACATGCTTGAAGATTTACTATAATTTTTTCATACTTTCGCAGTGTGTTGTTTACTTCTTTCGCAGCATGCGCTGTAGCTCGCAGGAAGGAAAGTCAACTTCAACTTCCATTGGTGTTCGTCATTATAAGCTCCGCCCACCTGCCAATGCTCGCACTACCATGTTTTTATTAGTTGCAATTTTCTTAGAAACGCGTTCTGAAGGAATTTAACTGTTTAAAAAAACATGTTTTTGGCGTTATTCAGCAGAAACATGATGCATAAGATAAGAGACTTATCATCATTCATCAATATCATAATCATCACTATCGTCATTATCACCATCACCATTCTTCTCATTAATGTAAGGACTAATAATTAGCATGTTAAGTGACTTTCTTCACCCCTAAGGGTCACTTTGTGTCTATGCTACCCAGTAACACAACAGATGGATTAAAAATTCATCATATTTATTTCAAGCAACAAAGTATGGTACCATAATATAAGAGAGTGAAAACCAATGCAGTAAACCAGATTACTCATGTTTGATTGAACAACAGACAGCATTATTGTCTCCCTCATTGCCATGGCATCACTATCATTCCCCTCATCAATCGTCAACTATCTTACTATCATCCCCTGCACAGTTAATATCGACATAAACATCCCCCTCCTCCTCCACATCATCACTCTATCACTAGCATCATTCAGTACACCGTTACCACCATAATGATGTCAGAATTGATATCCATCGCCAGAAATATCATCTGCCTCCACATCAATGTCATAATGTCATTCTTCTCGTCAATCACCAATATTGCAATCTTCCTAATCGTAACATTACCCTTCTCTATAGTCACCATGCATCTTTACCACATAAACAATCAATTACTATTATGTCTCTTTGTTTACAGTCACCCAAGGGGATAGATATCACAAGGTGTATACGTTTTCCGACAAACACCAGGCAAATGTGGGCTCGCCTTAAATTGTTATCATAGTTCCTTGCGTATACAGTAAGCTCACGTCAGATATAAGCCCAACTCAGGTAATAAGTCCATCACTTGTATAAAGCCCACCGGCTATTCCTTTTAGAGGTTTTGTAAAATGCTCAACCCATGTATAGGCCCATCCCATTTACATTAGAATCTGCATAATTAAGCTACCTACTCCCAGGGCTGCCCTAACAGCGGCCAACAAAAAACAACCATGCTGTTCACAGCTAGTACTTTCATGTTTTTACTACAGTTCGCCCTCAAAATCAAGACCACCTTTGAAACCTGAATGTTTTGGGTGGTCTCAGGATTCGGCCTCCCAATTATTAGATGAGCCTTGGGTTAAAAATTATAGATGGTTCTTTGAAAAAGTGGTCTTGAATTAGACGGTCTTGGAATTAGAGGGGTCTCGAATGGAGTGTGTACTATACTTAATGAATGATTTTCTCCCTGAAATCAGCTGGCAATCGGTATCAGCACTTGTAGCAAAATAAAATGTGATGATAAAGCTCATTAAACCAGATCTTTTTGAGATGCCATTTTCAATCTAGGGAACCCACGCCATGCTACAAGCATTGTTTGCTTTTTCTTGTATTCAGGTATAGGCTTACCCGCAAACATGAGCCAAATTTCATGTTGAAGTATATGGGCTTATACTTATATATATAGAATATGTAAATCTGTTGACATCTGTAAAAATGTTAACTTACATGTGTACTGGACAAGAGTTCCTTCATGATGTAATTATCAAAAATCTGTCTTGCACTTTTTAATCTCTCTTCATCAGAGTCAAGTTGTTCATATTTTTTGATCTGAAAAGAAAACATTCAATAATAATTTAATAATAATCACAGACAATGATAAAATTACTAAGATTCACTGATTATCGGTAGGGTAAATAAAAGATGAATGTTGTTGTTATGAAAACTGACAACTGTCAGGCAATAATCAAATCTATGTTCAACAAAAATAATATAATTCAATGGGAAAGGTAGTACAGCATTTTCCATCCAGGTTCTAAGCCTTGTAGTCAGGAGTTCCAACCACATGCCAGAGATGGCGCAAGCAGGAGAGCCAGGTAAGCTTGCCCCTCGTCAAGAAGAAAAACCACAATTTGTCATGGAGAAAGAAATATATGTATTTTCTACATATTAGTAGACTCTGAAATTGATTAAATTTGCCTTTGAAACACTTAAATTGTCATTTCAAAACATTTTGAGTGACGGTGACATCCGACCATGCCCACTTTGCTTTCATCAGGGACATCACTCCCCATGTCGGGGGCATCGGGCCCCCATCGAACATATCCTGGCAGAACCCCTTCAACACGCTGATCATTCTCGGCTGGCCATGCTTACATACCCTTGCTGCCCCAGTTCATCAATTAACTAGATGTACAAAAATAATATAATATAGTTGTAGTTTACAATGGCTGAAAAAATTTAGTTAAGACCAAGCTATAACATAAAACTGAAAAGCACTGGTAATTTAAGAATTAATATCTTGGACCATTCGCTGAGATTATAAGAGGTTATAGCTAGATCGTAATTCATTTTTAAAATACATCAAAATAATCAAAATATACAGCTTTATTTATCGTTTCACAAGTGTATCTTGAGAATAACATCATAAACTATAAAAGTACATGAAGGCATTTACCAAAGCATGAATGGTACATAATAAATTAAGACGTATATAGATTTTTTTTAATCTGTATTTTTGAAATACTTTCAAAGGATACAAAAAAAATGTGTATTTAGCAATAAGGTTCTGCCAAAAAACTTTAAAGCAGGGAAGTGAATAATAAAATTTAGTATGTGCTGAGGGAACAAAAAATGAATAGAGGGCAGCCTTAGGTCGTCACTTGAAATCCAAGTGGCAATGTGAACAGGTCAGTAATCATATTCATAAATACCTCATACTTATTAAATTTTGATGAATATAAAAATTTCTTATTGAGAGGCCTATTCATTGTGGCAACAGAATTTTTTAGTTTTTTTTTTTGTCAAATAATTTTGAATATTGCATAAATAGTATACTTATATTATCTTATACATCATTATCATATTAACGAATATGATCATTATTAGTATTTCAATCAACACAAAAACTAAATCACATCATTATTATTGCTATCATTATCACCATTTTCATAATCATCACGCTTAATCATCATATCATCTGATTATGATCATTATTATTAACACCATCTTCTTCACCTTCATTGCCATGACAATCACTGCTCAAAATCATCACCTTCACCATCATATCATTTTAATCCTGTGTCATAAATTGAATAAATTATCAACAATAACAGCAACAACAGAATAACCTTTAAACAATATTTAAACCATGAATGGACCGCTCGTAATAGATACCTGATGTCCATACTATTAGCTATCAATGGAGCTGTAGCCCAACATATAATTATCAACTCAACTCCCTATCGTGAGCCCTAAGCAGATGTAGGTGGCTAAAAATAGACCTTATTACATTCTATATTTGGAGCACTAAGGCTAATTAAATGAGGAAAGCTTCTAGAATTTGATCTGTTCATTTACATACTACTGGTGCAGATGAGGCAAATTATGTATTAGAACCTCACATGAATTTATGATAAATGATATCAGCATTTGAATAAGCGATATTGTGTCAAAAGCTCTGACCAGATTATCAAATTTTCTTGTATGCAAATATTTTGTCATGATATGCCTAAATATGGTCATGGTGTGATGTCATCATGACCATATTTATGCACGACACATAAAATTTGATAGTATGTACAGGGCTTTAAGAAGCCTAAATTATCTATAACAAATAAATGTTTTAATACTGTCTTATGAAGCCGAAAATATCTACAACAAATAAATGTTTTAATACTGCGTCTTAATGAAGCTTAAAATATCTACCACAAATAAATTCTCCATTGCTAATTAAACTGCAAAGTTTGTAAAAAAAAGAATTGATGTTACCAACTTACAAATGTTTGTTTCTTTAATATATTTTTACAGCCATTTAAAAATTATGAAATCTTTTCCTTTTAATAAATCGGAAGCTATGATAACACCTACCTACTTATTATGAAATGTTTTATATCAATATCAATTATTAATTTTTTTTCCAAATTTTCTCTATGAATTTGTAAAAAACAACACTGTTTAATGATGCAGATGATCATGCTTTATCTTGTTTTTCTCAACATGAACAAAAACAGAAATACAACTTGCTATAAATAACATCGTTGGATTTGACAAATTTATTTGTCTACTATAATGCATTGTAGTACCTCATTTATCTGCCTCAAGCTGGAAACTTACTACACCCAACCGTGATACCATACCATACAGAACGCAACGCAACGACCTCTGCGCTACGAATTGTTTTTAATGACCATCCGTTTATACTGCCACCGACAATCAGTAGACGGTGCCGCGTCGTCTAGCGCTCACAAATTGCGGAGTTTGGGTCGCTGTACGACGAAGCGAGTACTGCCTTAGTCATCGAGAGAAACGCCTCAATGAATTTCACAATTCAAATAAATTAGACCTACGGTATTTTAAGAAAGAATATTACCAAACAGTAAACTAGATTACACAAGATTTTGTTTAAAAAATGATATAAATAAATTATACCTTATAGTAATAATTAATAAGTGATATCCAACATTTTTGACATCCATTTTTTGAATTATTTTTTTAAGCATTCATATATTTTAAGGCTTGTCCATTATATGTAATAAAATACAAGATATTTATTATTGTTGTTTAACGTTATAGTTATTTATTATATCCAGGTTATGAGGTACAGACCTCCACATTCTCAATACAAATGTCATGGGTGAACATGTCAGTCAACGCAAGTCGACGACTTCAACGTGCAGCAGAGTACATTGAAATCAATAAGACATAAATTTATCATCACGTTGATATTGTTCCTAGAACTCTTGTGTTGAGTTTCACGCGACAATCTAGCGTGTACATTCTCCTAGCATTCAGAGACAGCATTGACGTAAACAAAAAGCTCATTAAAATGTTAAAGATTGTGACTAGAGAAGATAAAAACTTCTTTTCAAAACAAATGATTCTAGGATAATGAACTGAATCCCTGGGAATAGTCTAATTGTTCAGGCCCCAAGGGGGGGGGGGTTTATGGTTTGGGCAATCCCCTTTTCTAACAGACCCCCTCTTTTCTGGAGAAATCCCCCTCCCTCGAATTTTCCCAAACGAGTCCTCCAACGCAACTAATGCACTACAGACCCACCTAGACTCAGACTGAATGTTTTTCTGCAGTCATTTTTTATAGTCAAATTTTTATGGAGAGCACAAAATGCAAAGTTAATAATTGAAAGTCAACCCAATAGAAACTGAAAACCAGAAAAACATGTAAGCGCTACACACTCAGCAGTGACTTACCTAGGAGTATTGAATTGGGGGAGGGGAGGGGGAGAGGGAAATGATGGGGGGAGACACAAATGTGAAATGCTAATACTTGATAATTAACAATGAAGAAATTTTAAGGTTGCACTTAATAAAATATCAGGAGCCTAGTCTACTTATGTCATGACATTTGTGCAGGAGTGGGCATAAAAATGCGTCGGAGGGCGAAACAAATTTTTTTTATTTAACTTGGATGGAGGAGGTAACAAAGTTTCGTGTATTACTTTCATACTTATCCAAGAATATTTTTAATCAATGGGCATAATTACATGGCCAATACAAAAATTCATAACCAACAGGTGTTTGGACATTCAAACAGAGAATCATTATTCAAAGTCCTGATAATTACATACAACGTACTACATGGTTCAACTCCATCCTATATTTCTAACCTCATCTACTGTGGTAGATGCCTTAGAGCTTACCTAACCTTGCATGTTCCAGCATGTCAATTAAAAACGTATGGCGAAAGGTTGTTTCACGTAGCAGCACCAAAACTCTGAAACAGCTTACCTTCTAGTGTGAGGGAAGCACCCACCCTCGCTCTTTTCAAGAAAAGCTTGAAGACAGTCAGTACCTGCTATTAATTTCAAATATTCATACTTTTTTGTGTTCTTGTGCTCTTTATCATTAGTTCTTGCTTTTCTAGTATTATTTAAAGCTTGACTTGATAGGTGCCTTAAGCCAGTTCTCCACTAGGAGACTGGTTGCGCATTTTTCCGCTTCGCAAAAACCCGATAGAAATGTGAATGCGTATGAACTGACACTTTCGATTCACCTAGTGGAAAACCCGCTTTACACCATGAGAGCATCTGTGAATTATGTGCTGCCCAACCATTGCTTGTCAATGATCTTAAACTGCAGGCGAATGATGCAGTGACGCTTGGTTTTTCTTGTCATTCTGTTCACTCTGTATTCAAATAGTTTCTTGGTTACAATAGCTTGCTTTTTTTTAATAATTTTTATCATCTTTTTAAGCGCATTGAGACTTCATTATAATGTATATATTAAGTCCCGCTATATTACATTATGAACTTCCGATAAATTTGATTACGTCAGCATCACAAACGCATAAACACACGTGTGAAGGCCATTGTAAAGGTTCATTGTTTGGTTCAGCATAGGAACCACATTTGGTAGAGGAAATAATAAGAAAATCATATCTTTTGTGAATGCACATAGTAAACAGTACAATGCCAGATATACATTTAGAGGAAGCGTGTTGAATAAATAAACAGCCAGAAAGCTGGGGCAAACTGCAACAATCCACAGCAAAGATATTTAGTGCATGGAACATGCTAAAAAAGGGAACATACCAGACACTAAAAACTAGGACAAATTGTACTTAATGGAAGATACTTTAGAGAAATTTATAG